CCCAGGAAGACTTAGTTGTATTGTCAGTGGGCTCTCTCATGCTCTTGCCCTCTTGTTGAGTTTCACCAGTGGGAAGCACAGTAGAAGATCTCAGAGCAAGGTCACAGGAAGCAGCGCCTCCATCTCCCCCTCCAGGCTGGGGTCCCTGGTGGGGCCACAGTGGCCGAACACACTCCTGAACCAAAGCTACAGCTCCTTTCTCTGTCACCGTAACTTCTCCTCAAGCATTTCTGCTGCCATGTAGGATGAGGGACCCGCACTGCTGAGTGAAAGCTGCCAAACTGCACCCTGAATTTTCCTATCTTATCTACATGTCCGTAAACACCACTTCTATCCCAAGTTTTCCAATCAAATGGGGTCATGTGCTTCCTTCTGGAATTTGACTGAGCCTAGTCCACTTACAATAGTGATATCAAAACATCTACTAGAGTCACCGAACAGGGAACCACAGAAGCACCGGAACAGCGCGCCAAAACCAGCAGAGACCCAGACAAAGCGAAGAAAGTCACGCACTTGGCTGAGAAATTTTGACACCAAGAAATGGCGATTCTCCAAACTTAATTAACAGATGTAATGCCAAGAGATATTCTTATTGTTTCATTTCTTGTAAGTATGAATAGGAGGATAGATCTATATAATCAAACAGAAGCCCAGAAATATACCTCAAAACAAGTATTTATAATTTAAAAAAAATGTATCTAAAGGGTCTGGGAGATAGCTCAGTATGTAAGGTGTTTTCCATGCAAGCATGAAGATCTCCATTCGGATCCCCTTGTCTGTCCCCCTGGCCTCTGGAAGTGGGATGAAGGCAGCAGACTCTTGAGGCTCAGTGGTTAACCAGCCCAGGCAAGTCAGTGGGCTCCAGGTTCATGAGGAACTCTGTCAAGAAGAAGAAGCAGAAGGAGAAGGAGAAGGAAGGAAGGAAGGAAAGAAGGAATGAAGGAAAGAAGGAGATTGAGAAAGACATGTGATGTCTACCTCTGACCTCCATGTGTGTACACCCAGATGCACATATGTACTTACCCACATGAATACACGCATATCTTCTTCTCTCCCTAGACTCCCCGCTAGAGAAGAGGGGGAGGGAGGAAGGGAGACAGACAGACACACAGACACAGACACAGACACAGACACAGACACAGACACACACACACACACACACACACACACACACACACACACACACACACACACACTCAGAGAGAGACACTTCTAAGATCAGCAGGGAACTATCTCTGACTGTTGACTAAGTGGTTCGGGAGGAACAGGAATCAGCCGGAGAACAGATGTGGAGGGGGAATCCATGCCCTACAACACACAGCAGGGTGAGTTCAAAATGGATTGAAGATTGAAGAGCACACAAAGTGAATCCTGAAAGCACCAGGGCTGGGAGCGGAGTCCGTGGTAGAGCACCAGCTGAGCGTGCACAAGGCCCCAGGTTCCACCCCAGCACCATACCCACACACAGAATCAGAAGGAAATATGAGAGAACCTGTTGTAGCCACGGAGTGGAAAGGTTTCCAACCATGATTTAAACCATGGGAAAGTGTTTAAAGCCTGTATCCCAGCAAGCACTGTAAGGGATGCTGAAAGATGAGCTGGGGATAAAATAATGTGTGCCTAGAAATACACAAGCCAAAGCCAGCAATCCTATAGAAAAATGGACAGAAAAATAGACAGATTGCAGAAAAGGAAATGCAAAGGAATGCTGAACCTAAGAAAAGACACTCAGTGTGGCTCATAATCAGAGAGCACACTCCCCTCTGGAGAAGAGGGGCTTGGGAACGTAATAAGGACTTCCAGTGTTGTACACAGCTGGTCAGGTAGTCAACTGTACCAACTCCAAGGAAGGCTGGTGACATCATCTACCCAAACTCCAAGTGCTCTTTCTTTTGATTAGGTCCTCTATTCCTGGATATGTAGCCTGTAAATGTATTTGCAAGTTCAAAATTGTGTCTATATGGAATTTCCATTGCAGTGTTGTAAGGAAAAGCAAAACCTCTGGACAGGAAACTGGAAACAGCTCAAACACCCAGCAATGAGAGCTGATGGGGTGAATCCTGCTGAGTGCGTGGTGTGATACTTGGTAACCCAATCAAATGCCAAAACTGTGTTCTGAGTACTGACATGCCATAATGTTAAGGGGAGACAGCAAGGCTCTGGAGATGGTATAAAGTGAGAAAAATTAAGAATGTGTAATTAAAAATATGTAAGTAAAAAGGAATAGTCAAAGCATAGACAAGAAATTAGTGACAACTAGACATGCCACCAAGTGAAACCTCCAGGGCCAGGAATGGGTTACATTTAGTTAACTACATGAGTAGTTAACCAAATGGGCCCCAGTGGAAACCCTTAAATATCTCAGGCTACTGCCAAGGCTATTGATTGTTCCCTACAAACTGATGGTAAGGCCTTATTTGCTGAAACACACACACACACACACACACACACACACACACACACACACACACACACACACATACACACACACATACACACACACCACAAATTGAACATGGAGAATTTGAGCGGGTGCCTAACTAGAGCCTTTACTCCTACTGACTAGTGTTCGTGTTACACTATTAGAGAAGAAAGGTAAACACCAAACCAGCCATAAACCCTGAGATCTAAAATGGTGACTTGTCTGTAAGATACACTGGCACAATACTGGCACGTCACCACCCATTCTGATCGGATTTAAGGCCCACTCCATGGGATGGAACCCATGCCTGGCACTGCTTGGGCGGCTTAAGGGAAAACCAAAAATTATTCTGCTGAAGAAGCATAGCATTAAAAGGACTCCCAATGGCGTTCTACTACCCCATAGAGCAGCACCTCACCCAGCCGTCATCAGACCTGCTGCTTTCTGCAGTAGACAGGAACCACCACAGAGACCCAGGACTGGACAATGTGCAGAGAGCGAGAGATGGAACACTCAATCCGAAATGGGATATTTTCATCAAACCTCTCCCGTCAGGGCTCGGTGGTCTATGAAGAAGGGGAGGTGGAAAGATTATAAGAGCCCAAAGTAATGAATGACTCCAAGTCAACAGTGTTTTGCCAAACACAACAGGACTGATGACACACGAACTCACAAAGAGTGTGGCAGCATGCACGCACAAGGCCTGCACAGGTCCAAGCCCGGTGGGGTCCCAGTGCTGAAAAGGGGAAGTGGACACGGGATCCCTTCCCCAACCAAGAAGCTAGCTCCAATTCACACCTGCTTGTAAAGGAAAACTTAGTTGTCTCCTATGGAGTCTCACTAGGGATGTTAGCCACATTTCAGAGTAGGTCCTGTGTCCAGGAGTAGGCAGGCAACACAAAATGAACTCATAGGTAATTTTGTAGATTTTTTTTTGTTTCATATTTCAATTTGTTTGGGAATTTTTGTCTTAGTGGTCATTTGCTTGTATATTTTGGTTGAGAATTTTGTGTTTTGTGTGTTTCTTTTTTAAAGAAAGGGCATGGAGTTGGATGGGGAGGGAGGTAGGGAGGATGTGTGAGGAGCTGGGGAAGGGGAAAAGCATGCTCAGAATATATTGCATGAAAAGAATTTTTAATTGAAAATGCAGATAAAAAGGAATTAGCGACAGTGAGCATTGATTATTCTTGTCAAGTTGACTGTATTGAGAAGCATTCAGGAGAGTAGAAAAGCACACGCTAGGTTAGGTATGTCTGTGAGAGTGTTTCTAGAGACAATTAAATCGTGAGGGCTCTGACCTAAGCGGGGGCTTCATCAACTGATTATTCAAAATTCAAGTGGACTGTTGGAGTTGGTGGCAGAGTGGAAGGTGGGTCACTGAAGGAGGGATGCCCTCAAGGTCTGTCTTTACCCGGCCCCTTCCCGTTACTCCGCTCTGCTTCACGGACTCCTGAAGTAAAGAGGCTCCCACTATGGTGTTCTGTCTCACCGCAGGCTGAGAAACAAGGCAGCCAGGAGAGAATGCACCAAAACCAATAAACCCACGAGCCAAAATCAATCTTTGCTCTTTGAAGTTGTTTGTCACTAACACATGGTGACAAGGACCTGAGAGACGGAGGTGAAGGCGGGAACAGTTGGGTGGGTGAGGATCAAAAATGGGAGGTAATTGTTTTCTTATGTTCCGGGGGATGCTGGGCCCTGAAACTGTAAAGTCTGTTGGGTTTTGTTATTGTTTTCTTAAAAAAAAAGAAAAGAGCTAAAAATGTAAACATACATAAAAGCAAGTAAAAATACATCTTCAAAGTAAGAATCCAGAATAATGAGGATCCATGTGTTACCTAAGAAATAGTTCCTAATTCAGAAGAGTTCTTCACATAGTTACCCAGAGTGTCTGTATCGTGTTGAACCAGCCAGGAAAACTGAGAGCAGGCAGACCAGGGGTCTGTTTCCCAGCCTGGTCATTGCGATGGGATCAGGCATGCTGGGAGAGCAGGTGGTGCTCTTAACTGCTGAGCCATCCCTCTGGACCCTATCATTGATTTTTGAGATTGAGTCTCACTTTGTAGTTTTGGCTGGTCTGGAGCTTGCTGTGTAGACCAGGCTGGTCTGGGACTCACATCGATCCACCTGCTTCTACTTCATGAGTGCTGGGATTAAAGGGGAGGCCACCACACCTCAACTAAGGTTTAGTTTTCATTTGAGTTTGTCACAGGACACAGGACTGTGACTGGGAGAAGAAGCTACAATTTTTTTTTTTAGCTTTTAATTTTTTTTTTTCCATTTTACATACTAACCACAGTTCCTCTCCTCTCCCCTCCTCCCACTCCCTGCCACCTTCCTCCACCCTACCCCGTTCCACTCCTCAGAGAGGGTAAGGCCTCCCAGGGGGAGTCAACCAGGTCTGGCACATCAAGTTGAGGCAGGCCCAAGCCCCTTCTCCTTGCATCAAGGCTGAGCAAGGTAAGGTATCCCACCACAGGGAATGGGTCCCAAAAAACCAGTTCATGCGCCCGGGATAAATCCAAGCCCCACTGCTAGGAGCCCCACAAGCAGACCAAACCACGCAACTGTCACCTACATTGAAAGGGCCTGTTTCGGTCCCCTGCAGGTTCCCCAGCCATCCATGCAGAGTCGGTGAGCTCGCACTAGCTCCAGTCAGCTGTCTCTGTGGGTTTCCCTGCGAGTGGGAAATAGAGTAGCTACAAATTTAAAATCCGGGTCTCCAAGAAGCCTGGCTTTGGCGAGTCTCTCTGCATTCTGTTTCTGACGAGCTAATCCTCCAGCAGCAGCATCTGAAGGGGAGGAGACTCTGTTCACGTCTGGGAATCTGTGAGTTAACACATGGAAACAGTCTCATTCTGCTGCCTGTCTTGGAAGGAACAGTTTGCATGCGTTAATGAGGCAGAAAGTTCTTCACACGTTTTTAAGCAATCACACACTCCTTAGGGCGTGCTTTTTACAAGCCCACATCTTTGACATGATGGCTGCATTCCTGAAAAGCTAGGCATATATTTAATTTTTAAACTCTTTGTAGGACTGGACCTTTGCAAAAGGGTTTTCTTTCTTTCTTTCTTTTTCTAAAGGATTTATTTATTTATTATGTACACAGAAGCGGGTGCCAGATCTCATTACAGATGGTTGTGAGCCACCATGTGGGTGCTGGGAATTGAACTCAGGACCTCTGGAAGAGCAGTCGGTGCTCTTAACCTCTGAGCCATCTCTCCAGTCCACAAAAGGGTTTTCTTAAACAGAATTATTTTGTCAATTATTTAAAGATGTTAGCTATATTAGGTTCTGATATTTAGGTTAAGTACTTATGAGTATAAAACCCACAGAGGACATAGGGATTCTAGTCTGATTTTACTAGAAATGTATCATAAATAATAATCTACTATTAGCATGACATTTATGCCTTATAAAGTTTATGTTTATTATGTATTTTATATAACCACATTATAACATAATTAGTTATTGTGTTGTCAATAACAATAATATAGGTATTACATATTATAATATAAATACAGAAAATATCATATAGAAATACATATCAAATAGTATATGGAGCATATTAAAACACACATGAAGTATGTATTAATAAAATAGAAAGAAGAAATAATTTTTCATTTTATTTTTTTCTTAAACACTTCTTTGCCTTTTCTTAGCTATAACCGTATTTCCTAGTATATCTCTTTTAATGTAGAAACTTTTTTTTTTCATTGAGAATGTCAGGCCTGTTCAGAATCATATTTCCAAGAAATAGATAACAAGATAGCTTTTATGAATCCGGTAACAGTTAACAATTATACGATGGTTATTAATTTTCAGCTAGGTGAGTCCAAGATAAGCAAGCGCACAGTTTTAAAACTGATTGGGCAGAAGCTGTGCCTGGCCCCTCCCACAGAGCTGTCAGGTAGTGGCCCTCAGCATTCCTGGCCTCCGCTTTTCTGTAACGATAACTGCACACGTTACTTCTCCATGTATCCAGCCATCAGCCACCACGGACCTCCTGCTTTGATCGCTGAGACCGATTTTCATTCCCCCTCACCACTCACCCAGCGCCCAGTAGAGGTTACCAGTGTTTTTAGTGTGCATCACCATGGCCCCTCTCTGGAGCTAGCCTAATCGGTGGTATCCTGTGCCCGTCCTCACAGAATGCAGTTGGTGGGTGACCTGATTAAGCAGCCCCGAAGAGGCCGCAGCCCATGTTAGGGCATCCTCTGAAAGAGAGGCCTGAGGCCCAGTCAAGAGACTGGGTGTCACATGCAATCACATCACCGGGTGGCGACGACGACACTAAGTAGTTAGCATGTCTCTGTCAGCTGTCAAGTTCAGTCAACGCTAAAACATGCACACACACACACACACACACACACACACACACACACACACACACACACACACAGAGCTGCCCCAAGTAAATACTGTCCACATCAAATGCTCTTCAAGACTTATATACAAGAAGATACACAAATCTGTATAGTTACCACCCTTCAAAGGCCGAGACAGAGGGATCACAAGTGTGAGGCTAGCCTAGGCTACATAGTGCAATACCATATTTAAAAAAAATCAAACAGAAAAAGTAACCTGGGATGTGTGAAAATTTGTGTAAGATCAGGTACCTAATGTGGCTGAAAGGGGACAGAAAGCGGCCACTGGGGCTGGAGAGTGTGTGTGTCCTGTTAAATGTGTGTAGCTATAGCTCAGGAGGAGGGTGAGGAGGAGGGTGAGGAGAACGGTGTCCAGGAGGGCATATGAGATGGAAGAACTTATTGAACTCCACATTTACAGTGAAAAATGGGGACCAGTTATGCGTATACTGCCACATTTTTACAAAGTAAATACTTTGTGGCGGGCTGGAGACAAGGCTCAGAAATTAAGAGCACTTGCTGCTCTTCCTTAGGACCAGCGTTTGGTTCCCCATAACACGCTGGGCAGCTCACAACTGCCTGTAACTCTAGCTCCAGGGGATCTGACACCCTCTTCTGTCCTCCACGGGCATCTACACACATGGCATGCACTCATACACACATGTACACAAATAAAAACAATAAAGTAAATGTTTTTAAAACATAAGATAATAAATCTTTTTAAAAGTAATGAGTGTGGTGTCCTTAGAGAGAGAAAGAAAGACACCTCTCACTGAAGGAAAATAACAACCAGTACCACCCAACAGTCACCCTGGCAGGACAGCCACAGGGGAACAGACTCAGGACATCATTGGCCAGAGCGCTGACAGCATTTCTGCTTAACCCATTTCTTATGAGATGAAATTTTTGTCATGAATTATGTGTGTTGCCTTTATATATATATATATATATATATATATATATATATATATATATATATATATGCATATATACATATATGTGCTATCTTCATTTGATTTCTATTGTGTGACAAATGCCATGGCCAAGAGGGTTTGTTTCATCTTACATGTCCATGTCACAGTTCATCATCAAGGAAGTCAGGGCAGGAGCTCAAGGCAGGAACCTGGAGGTACGAAGTGACCCAGAGGCCGTGGAGGAGTGCTGCTTACTGGCTTGCTCACCATGGCTCACTCAGCTTGCTTGTTTGTACAGCTCAGCACCACCTGCTCCTGCTGGCAGGTGTTTAGATCATCAAACTGCAGAGTCAGGGCTGGGCGCCGGAGTTGGAGAAGTCTGTGTGACTTTGAATGCATTCATCCCGAGTTCATGTGGGATGGGCTCTGGAGCCCAGGCCACGGTCAAGCCTAACCAGTGCTTTCCCTGCCTGAGAAAAAGACAAGGCCAGCTGCAGCTTGGTTTACATTTTCTATTTAAACATGGGGAGCGGGCCAGTGAAGTGGCTCCGTGGGTCAGGGTTCTTACTGCTAAGCCTTAGCCCCTGGATTTGATCCTGGAAACCCAAGTGATGCAAGGAGAGAGCTCACTCCCACAAGTTGTCCTCTGACCCCCACGTGTGTGGAACGACACACACACATACACACAAATAAATAAAAATGTAAAAAATTCTTAAGTGGTAAATTTGATTTTAATCATCAATAACAACCAACATTAATATTTATAACATTCTTAATGAATATATTCAAAGGATAATTATCTTATCCTGTGATCAATATAAAATTAATTAATGATATAAGTTCTTTTTAAAATTAAGACTTGTGCTGGGCGGGTGGTGGTGCATGCCTTTAATCCCAGCACTCGGGAGGCAGAGCCAGGCTGATCTCTGTGAGTTCGAGGCCAGCCTGGGCTACAGAGTGAGTTCCAGGAAAGGCTGCAAAGCTACCCAGAGAAACACTGTCTCAAAAAACCAAATAAATAAATAAATAAAAATAAAATTGAGACTTGTTTATCAGGTAGGAATGTTATATTTACAATACATTTCAATGCAGACTGGTCACCCACATTTTAAGCACCCATGGTCACCTGTTGGGAGCACAAAGGTCCTTGCCCATATAGATAAGCACTCGGGAAACCAGGAATGTTAAACATGTAAGATTTTCTCTTCTACTGGAGAGACTTTCAACCTGTTTTCCACCCAAAGGCTGGGGATGGAGGTGGTTAATAGCCTGGTGACCTGTGCTATCTGTAGTTAATAACCTGGTGACCTGTGCTATCTGTAGTTAATAACCTGGTGACCTGTGCTATCTGTAGTTAATAACCTGGTGACCTGTGTTATCTGTAGCTAATAACCTGGGGACCTGTACTATCTGTAGTTAATAACCTGGGGACCTGTGCTATCATAGGACCAGGCCATACCAAGCTCCCAAAAGCAAGACCAGAGGCAGCTAACAGTCTAAGGTGATCTTTGTGTTATCTGTATGGTCAGGGGCTCCCCCAAGCTCCCACAACCAGGACCAGAGGTGGCGAATAGCCCAAATGACTTCTACCACATCAGATCCTCCCCCAGGCCCTTAAGATAACACCTGTAGCCTATCTCTAGACCGCATCATCATGGAAGAAGTGATAGTACTTTGAGAAGCGTTTTGATGTAATTATGACTCCTTGTGCACAGGGGATTGTGTTACACCAAGAAACTTTTTTCCAGATTGTGCTGTACTTAAATATGCCTAAAATAAACTGCCCAGTGTCAGACGTGCCCAGTGGCACATGTCTTTAATCCCAGCACTTGGGAGGCAGAGCCAGGTGGATCTCTGTGAGTTCGAGGCCAGCCTGGTCTACTTAGCGAGATCCAGGATAGGAACCAAACTACACGGAGAAACCCTGTCTCCAAAAACAAAAAACAAACAAACAAAAAGTCTGAAGAGATGGCTCAACAGTTAAGAGCATTTGCTGCTCTAGCAGAGAACCTGAAATTAGATCCCAGCACTCACGATGGGTTACAACTCCCCTAGAGCTGGAGTTCTGCTGCCCTCTTCTGGTCTCCTCCAAAACTGCATGCATGTAGCACAGACAAGTAGGCACATATACATAATTTTTTTTTTTAAATCTAACTCTCGAAGTTTGTAGTTATAAGCAGAATTTATTAGTTGACTTCACATGCTAAGTGTTGATATACTTTATGTATCATAGTATTTCATTAGAATATGTATATTATTATGCTTTGATTGAATGTTATTATAATTATTCAAATTTGAATTTAGTTCAACATACCTGGGTCGTGTTATTATGGTATCTTAGAACATATCATAGTACATTCTTTTTTATTTTTATTTTTAAATGTGTGTTTATTTAATTTTGTGTGTATATGTGTGCCTAAGTGTATGTCTGTGCACCACAAACATGCAGGAGCCTATGGAGGTCAAAAGAGGCATCAGATACCCTGGAAGTGGAATTACAGATAGTTATGAGCCACCATTTGGTGCTGGGAACAGAACCTGGGTCCTTTGCAAGAGCAGATAGTGCT